TTATTTTTCCCATTTATAGGGACAATTCCTGGGAAAATCACAAAAATACTTCCTTAAAGTACCACCCCAGTCAAATTTACTTTCAGAAAAGGTACTACATTTTAAAATTGCAAAACTTCTGGTAGAAAAGTTGTTCAGAAGAAAAAAAAAATAAACATTATTGTAAAACCAATCGCTTCACTCAGAATATATTATAATGTTTTTACTTAAATACTTAACAAGGTTTCGGTTAAAACGTTGCCAATGTAACTCAGTAAACTAGGCGTTTGGTAGATTTAATAGCCATCCGAATTGTTTTAATTTTTCTTTGTAATATTTTTATTATATTTATACAATTTTATTGACATAATTATTAAACATACAAAATATGTGCACATATCTATTGTAAACTGAAAAAAGTCCGTACCATATAATGACATAGTTATGATAATCATTTAACTTTAAACCAGTTGCCAAATGACATACATACAAATTAATGTGATATTTTATGATCAGAATTTAATATGAACATTAAACCCTAACAATGATATTATAATATCAAGTTGGTGGAACATTGATTTAATAGTTAAATTTGCTGACGATATTATACCTACTAATTGTAAGAGAGGAAAATGATTTTTAACAATATGCTCTTCTCTCACTATAAAAAGTACAAAATAAACATAAATAGGTACTAACAAAACAAATGTTCTAGTCTAGACCAGAAATTTAGAAATTTTCAATAACATTTTTCTAGATTGTCACTTTCCAAATCAAGTACAAAACTTCAAATATTTATTAATCTCAATAAAATATGACGAAAGAAGCACGAATAATATAAAATAAAGAATTAGACAAGCAAAATCAGCACTTATTAAAAAAAAGAAAATAATCTCACCAAAAAAAAAATAGTAGTTGTTAAAAAAATCATTTCATACAAAAATGAAAAGACGATGGGAGAGGATGGGCTAGAATATGGCCTATCATGAGGAAGAACTGTATCACATAACAATTAAAGGAACTATAGGACGAACAATTGCCGAAATAAGAACAATGAATTCATATATTTCTCAACCGAAAAAGGTTGGATTCGTTCTATTTTTTCGGCGTCACCTTATTAATCTTTCTATTACAGAAATGAAGGAACAGTACCTCTCTTTTCTTTGCAAATAATGATATTTTTAAAGAAACATATATACTCGTATTATTAACTCAGATATATTCAAAATTTGGCTTTTGCCTTGTGTGATAATAAAGTATAAATAATTTAACCAAAATCCTAACAATATAATTATTTTTACGAAAATAAGAAATAATTTTATTTAAAGATCTGATAATGGTGATGCGTGAACCATCATTGCAAATAAGATGTAAGGAAGGTAAAATACAATATAATGCTATTTAATTTAAATCTGTTCGCAACGCTAAATTATTGCGTTCACATTTTGAACTGCCGTAATTGTTAAGATTTTCGTCAAAATTTGAACTTAACATGCTTGTAGAAAAATATTCATATTACAAGATAACACTCGATTTTTTTTACCATCAAATATAACTTATGATGAACTTCTTGTAAACTTTTTAAACATTTCTAATAGGTCAAATAATTTAATTAGCAGACAATTAAATTTAAACTAAAATAAAAAGCTACTTTTCTGTAGAATTTACGACTTAGTTTCTTTGTTCGACCAAACAGAAATGCTTGCAGATCGAACACGAAGTTTATTATAAGTTTTACTTAGTAGTAAAAAAAAAGTTGAGCGCAATGCAGACGAGTTTTTTGTTGCAATCGTTTTATAATTCCAATTTTATGAAAATCATAAATTTTACGGTGTTTCGAAACATGCAGTATAACCGAACAACTCAGAATCTTATTTCGTTAGCAAAGATTTATCATTGCTTTAACATATAAATTAAATTATTTTACTTATACTACCTTACCAACTTTTCACCCACAGTGGTGCGCTAATCAGCAGTATCAGCTATTTCTTGATCTATTTAATTGTCTTTATTGTTGCAAATAAAATATTTATATATGTATAGATATAGGTTTTTGATTTTTTTTTTTGTTTTTGTTTTGATTTGGTTTTATGTGGATATAATTGTTTGGCTGAACAAAATTACTTGAATTTTAGACATGGTTAAACATTTTTATAAGCTAAAACCGTTTAAATTTCGATGAGATATAATGGCTTTTTAAAATAAATTTAACCGAACTTCACCTCATCGTATCAATGAATAATCGTTGCGTACAGATACAAATTAAACAAATCTATGAATCTTATTTCGCAATCTATTACATTTAGGTAAGTCTCAACAATTTTCACTATAGTTTATTAAAACCGTATCCCTGGGTTTTCATTATTTGCGAATTTTGAATGAACACGATTGTAGTTTATGGTAACATAATTTATTCAATAATATATTGTAATATTATTACAATATTGCTTACCCGTTAAAACACTCGTAATTCAATTGGTAGGTATATATTATAATATTACAATGAACACCAGTGTGGTGTTTAGATAGGCATGGAAAGGTGGGTACCATTATTGTACTCGCGTGTGCTACACGGTTCGCTAATGTGCTATACTCGTATTATAATCAAAGTAGATTTTAATAAGCCACGAACAATCACGTTGTACTCAAGTCGTACATTCACGTACATTTCCGTTGCACATTACGTCACGTGGTTTAATTAAGTGTAAATTCAGATTTAGATAACTCCTGGCACACTATACCGACAGTATTATAGGTACCAATATATTATTATAGATTTGATATATCTGGTTTGAGAATATCTGAATATTAACACACTCTCGCAAGACCACAACTAGATGTATAATATTTTGTTTTTTTTTTTGGGGGGAGGGGGAAGTCGTATTGCACTTATTTCATTCGAATTAGGTAATATTTTTTTTTTTTAAAGAAAAAAGGGTATTGGCCAAACTGCACTCTAGTCAAGAAAGTCGTTTCGACAAAAATTTCTGAACAAATTTACTTCATTTAAAAGCTTCTCGTCAACGGGTTGACGAAAGTCAACAATTTCAACAACGAAATTAATTTGAACTAATATTCTATCTATTCATGGGTTTTCAACACAATAGATTGATATTTGAAATGCAGGTAGCTATTTTACTTCTAAAAATAAGGATGCAAAAAGAAATGGTAATGTAACATTTTACAGTAGTTGCTTGTTTTTTTTTATCAGAAAAAAATAAATCCAAAAAAGTTAATTCTTTTCAATATTAAAATGGGTGTATTATTGTCGTTGGGCATCATATATGGTTTTAAATTTAATTGTGATAAATTTAAAATTAATTGAAATTAATATAACATGACAAACTCGTTTTTTTTTAAATTCAATTTATGTTAAATGTTGAGTTAGTAACAAAAATTATAGGCTGAAGCCAAGTCAAAATTAATTCTACTTAATTTTTAAACTCGTTAATGCTTCGAGATAAACAATTTATATTATTTTTTGTTTCTGTGAATAACTTTTCTACCAGACATTTTTCTCCAATCAAAAACTTTCTAGGAATTTATTCATAGCATTTTTATTGAGTTATTGCATTATAGAAATCATTTTTTTTTATTTTCGTTGTAATTTTTTGTCGCAGTTTTGTGAAATTTGTTAAAATCGACTTAAATGTTTTTAATGGGTAGCCAACCATTCATTATATGTATCTATAAATTATTTAAAATTAAAAATCTTTATACTATTACGATTATTACGCGTGTTAAACAAACAGCATACTTACAATTGCAATTATTTTATTATTATTTTGTCTTGTCAAACCTGTCAAAAAACTTTCGCAAGATTATCGTTAACTATTGTCTAAGACACGTGCAATAGACAATACGTATACAAGGACGTTTTGAGCAATTTCAGGCTGTATCAATAAATCGATGGCCATTCAATTAATCTAATTTTCAAATTCGCAAAAACATTAGAAATAATATTATACATCTATTAAGTAAATATGTATATTCAATTTTGTTTTATAATTGCATAAATTATACCTACACTCAAATGGTAATCACATTATTTCGTTGTTATTTACGTATCTATACGTATTATAAAATCACGTTCGTATATACTGGTAAATGATTAAGTTATGATGTGCGTGTGCATTAGTTATGGAAAATTTGGCACGAGTTAAAACGACGAAGTTCGTGCGCTATAATATTATTAAAGGATATCTTATCGTGTCTCGGTTTGCATAATATTTAGAATTTATGTGCCTAAATTCATGTGCTGAGTAATATAATTATATTGTTTGAAATAATAATACACAAATTCGTATTATGATATTAAAGAAGCGAAATCTATGTGACTAGGACAGGATAGGACAAGAAAAAGTTAGACAGCAGAAATGTGGATTTGGAGAAGAATGATGAGGGTGAACAAAAGTGTAAAGCAATTATGAAGTGTTAAATTAAAATGAAAGGGAAATAAAGTTTCTGCTTAGTTCTATATAGAAAAGAAGTAGAAAATGTTAGGTTACCTGCTGAGACATAATTTGTTTCTGCGTTTCGCAGATTAACGTTACGTCAAATATGTATCCAGGAAATCATGTATCGGATGAATGATTAGACAAGCTGAATGCATTCGGTAAATAATATAAAAAGGTTGGCTAATCAGAGAAGAATGAATATCCAGATTTGTAGCTAAAAGGCATAGCATTTACTGAGAAAAAAAAAGAGAAATAATTACTCACGTAAGGGCTGTTCTCGACAAAGTAAATGTTGACTTTTAAATAAAACTAAAAATTTAATCGAACCATCACGGTAGATTTTTAAATATACGCGTAAAGTGGCCTTAAGAAAGTTGTGATATGTATTCCGAGAAAAATGATCATTAAAGTCCATATTTAAAGCGAATTTTACAATGACATTATGTGTAGAAAAATTACGAGAAATCGATAAATTTTCAAAGAATGAATTCTACTAGATTCTACAACGGACCAAATTTTTGTAATAATATAGATATAGATTCTCCAAAAAGAACGGATATATATGGATGTTTGTAAATTATGTTTTGATTTTAAAAACCATATGATTCTTTTGATAGAAAAAGTCAATTAAATGTACCTAAAGAATTTGGATTTTCAAGAAAAATTTCAAACCACATTGAAATTCACCTAATTAAACAAAAATAAAAGTCGAGATAGCAAACATAACCTCACAACCTGTGAGGGTCACTATAAGGAACGGCAAGAAGATGTACTTCCTTCAGTGTTGGAAAAATAGTACGAGAAATGAACATATCTGGAAAAATCGCTCTGTGTCATTTGACTATAGAATAGATAACATCATACATTAAGGAAATAATTTAGAAACAATAAAGTGTTTAGGTAGAAAATTCATAAAAGCCACTCATAGAGTGACGGCATTAACTGTTAATGATGATAATACAGAATATCTAGTTGTAAGTTGAGTAAAATAGAAGTGATGGACTAGAATAGCACATTTAGTTGATAATACGTTCAGAAGAGTACCATAATTTAAATATTTGAAATAACGGGAAATGGCGTTAAAACAGATTTGCTGTCGAGAATGGAATTACAAAATAAAGGATACTGTAGAATAAAAAATGTTCTGAAATCTAGAACCCTACCTAAACATTTAAACCAATAGATTACGTTATACAGGGTTTTATATAACTAAAACATTACAAAGAATATTTTATTTGTTGTCGCTATACTGATAGTTAAAAAAAGTAACGCTTATCGACCAGTATTATTAAATATCGACCGATATATTATTATTACACATTTCTATTGATAAAACTTATCAAAAATACAATAACGCTAATTATTATTGTTTTATAAACATTATAAACATAATAAATATCGTACATAATTTTTTTTGTTATCAAAAGTTTTGTAACGTTCGATAATTAACTCATGACGTGGAGTATCATAAATATATTATTATTACGGGTTTTTGGGACTACCGGCTTTTTTGTTCGTAGATTTAAAGAAATCCGGTAGTTGTAATACCGCACAATTGGAGTACTTCCCTTTCACCTTCAAATTGTAGTCGGTCTTCTCCAGGTCGCTCAGCTCGTAGAAACCTTTTGGGTGTCTCGCAATCCAGCGAATTTCCTGAATAGGACCGTTTTTGTTATACCCCCCGTAGGGAGTTTTCAGTATACCCATAACCTATAAAATAAATAACGGTAAACTCACCTATTTAAATTATTCACGTATATTATTAAATTATAACCATTGTTTATATTGAATATAAATATCAAAACAAAATAGTTTATATTAAAATTAAAATAATAATTATAAATCCCACTTAACAAATACAATTTACAAGGGGAAAATAATGTTTTAATTGATTAAAAAAAACTCACATTATTATTGATAACCAATCGAATTTTACTTTCGATATTACAAATCAATCGAATAAATAAAATATAATATGTATTCCCATTATTTTGATTGCACTGTGGTTTTTAATTGTATAAACCGAAAGATGCTTTCATTATGATCTCACGAATTTTTCTTCTCTTCATCTGCTTGTTTTCATTCTTGTTCTCTGCAGATTCTTTCCATTTTTTGGAGAGTCTATCTTAAGAGAATCTCTCTAATTTAACCTCTGTCTTCTTAAAAATCTTTTCGGAGTCTTACAAAGACTCAGGCTCCCTAGTCTTTCATAGTCCCACGTCAATCTTAATTTAGTAATCTCTCTAACCATACCAGGGTCTTCGGAACTCAATTCGAAGTTCATCATTGTATTTTAATCACCGATATTCATTCGGTTTGGGCATAGAATTTACATTATTGTATATTTTAGTTCTTTGAAGAAAGTTCTCGAGATTATTGTTTTTATATGAAATACGAATTTGAGTTATCGAACTTCCGATATTAGTACTTACTTACAAAACGATATTGCAATTTTTTATTTTTTAAACGAACTATACACGACATCGTTCTCGTGTTGAAATAAAAATAATAAAATATGTGTACCGTGTAAGCATATACGGGGTCGTCGTTGTCGGTATTATTGTCAAGACGTCGGTATTTTCGTTAAATAATCGCTTTAGATTATTCAACCGCGAATACTGCTGCAGGAGTCGTTGAAACGATCATAAGTCGGCGGCGGCGGTGGTGCAGGTGCGTCGTATTATTTACACCGTAATTGCGTTTTGGGGATTTGTGTTCCTCGATTTAAGTACGATATTTCACGGTGCTGCCGCCACTGCTCGTGCATTTTATTAACGGACTATAATATTATTAGTCCGGTTAATCTCGTATACGAAATGCCACGGCAGGCAGTGCAGGGTTAATATAATTTCGGGCTCCACTTTAATTAAATCGCGAGCGCGCGCTCCGAATTTGTAATGTTGACGTATTGTTATTGGGCAACACTGTATACAGACTCTATTATTATATGAATACACCCGCGAACCGCTCTGCGAAATACTCTTATATACCTACGTCAAAGGCAAACGTTTTTTGAAAAATTTGAGTGAATTATAAATATATATTTATAAATACATACACATGGGGTGCAGGATATGATTAATGACGGCCGACGGATTTACGATGTATAGTACTATTTAGAAACAACGGCTCAGTGTAGTATTTATGAAACGATTACGATGGTATTAATATTATAATTATGTACCTATCCGTGTTATTTCGGTACGGTAATTATTATGTTAACCACCGTGCTCATTTATGAGATAAAAAATTTAAATTATGTATCCCTTGTAATTTTCAATAATTCTTTGCTATCATTTATCAGATATACAGGACACGGATGTAATACTACGTATACCGCGGTTATGTCGTTTCAGAGTTATGCTAGGTTATTTGTTATAATTATTGAGTAAATTAATCTTATCACACAAATCGATCTATAATTAATTATTATGATAGTGTTTCTTGGAGTGTTATGAGGTCTGGCCAACAAGTAGGTTAAGTTTTTTTATTTACACTCTGATTTTTCTAAACCAGCGGAGTAAATATTCGTTGACTTGTTATAAAATAAATAGTAGGTTTTAGGTTCGCTCTTAATAACGATTACGAGTAAGTAATTATTGTTTTGTGACAAGTTATTTAAATAATTAGTTTCTAACGTATTTTTTTCCAATGGGATCATTTGCCTTGGTTATCAAGTAAAATGTGCTTTGAATTTCACATTTCTCTGAGATACGTTCAAATCGCATATTTTTCTGAAAGAAATTTTTTTTTTTGAAAAATATCAATTAAATCGCGGGTGTTTATGGAAAGTGTAAAATAATTTCACGCGACCGACGACGTAGTTGTAGTATGTGGTTGTGATTTTATACTCGTTGACAATTTACACAAACCTTAAACATATATTTTATGTCAAAAATAAACTATAATATTAAAATGTTATGCGTTATTCAAATACGAATTGATCGAAGAATTTTAACGAACTCTAAAACGAGTCGTCCTTCCTGTGCGTCAATGATAAAGTTATTATTTTTATAATCAGTAATGTGTTTAATATTTTGTTTACATATGTAATTACTCTGTATTTGTTTTTTGACATGTATCATCTATATAACAAATAACATTAGTGTTTTTTTTTTTTTTTTTATTCGGGTGATTTAACAAGTATACCGATAAACCTATTATTAATAATTTCGGATGTTTGATTATTTTTGCCAACCCGTACAATATTATTATATTCGATACCAATAATTTATTATTTACGCGGTCGCGTGAGAATATTCGTCTGTTGTTCCGAGCACGTTAAAAGAATGCCGGGAGGTTATATGTAAAGCAATACTAACGACATTTTTTTAAAAAAAAATCGATAAATTCAAAACTCTTCGAATTCACTTTCGTATTATCTATAGATATAGTTTTTACTATAAATTATTATTCGTGATCTATTCAATCAAAAACTGCCGAATCAAATTTGATACCAAATTTCGCACACGAATTTCTTGAGACTCGTAAAGGGTTTGTAGCTTTGTTTTTTTCGAGGCTGCTCATACATAAATTTCATTTCGGCTCAAATATTTGTTTGATTATGTATAGGGAAGCCATTTGTTACGAATATTAAAAAAGTTATGATAAGATATATTTAAAGTTATTTTGTATAAAATATGAAATTAAATGGCAAATCTCAGAAACTCAGAAAAAAAGAATCGTTTAATACTGCACATGTGTAAAGCTGAGCGGAACAGCTATTTACGGGCAAGAAAATGTTTTTTTAAATAAAGGCAATAAAGGCAATAAAGGTTAATATTGTAGTGATAGAAACTAAGATGAAAATTGAAAATCACGGTAAAACACATAACTACAACCAAAAAAACGAATTAATATAATTTAGTGTTATAAAGTAAATGTCTAATTTTAACCGAATACAATAATCTAATAATAATACAAATAACAAACTTTCAATTGAGTTCATAACATCTAAACTCTAAACAACAGCGAATCGTTGCTGGAACAGCGTAACAGATAGTTATTTTTAGAGAAAAATATTGTAAAGTTTGTAATTATTGTAATTTCTATTGTAAAATAAATTATACATATTTTAGAGGAAAACTTTTTTTTTTCGTGTATGCGTATTTTTCTGGTTGTTATTTTTTAGAAACATCCGTTAGCTGTAGATTTCCGCCGCCAGAGTCGAATATTAAATTGTACTCTAACTTACTAAATATTTAAAAACAAATGGTCAAATTCGAGTATACTAATGGCAGGAGCGGGTTTTAAAACTTCAACTTCTAGAAGACACATCCTTGACACTAATGCCATACATATACGAAATTTCATCCTCCTAGCTTCATATGAAGTTTGTAGGAGTGTTTAAAGAAATATCCTTCTGCCACAAAAATATAATGAAATTCATATTGAAATTCAACCCAACATCGCTTTAATCTGTCTATAAAACAACCTGGAATTCTTAAGTTTGAAATCATCTGGTCTGACGAAAGTTTCTAGAAATTACCAAAAGTAGCGGATTACTTATGTATCTTTAGTCCCAGGGAAGAAAAAGAGTACAATTTTAAAATTTGTTTTTGATCATTTTGTCTTAAGTAAATTTTTCTCTTTATTTTTTTGTGTACAAATTATAAGCCTGTGTTTTCAAAATTAGTGAGTGTAGTACATAAGTATTACATTATATGATCATCGTACATTGTACAAGTGTATGCATTTTCAACATTTAATTTGTTTATGTTGGGAAATATACAAAATTGAACAGTATTTCGAATATATAACCTTAAGGAATCCAAACAAATTTTGAAAAATAACAAAAAAATGAACAATATCAATGATATTCCCAAAATCCAAAAATGGGCTGGGTAGTGTAATGTACGAGATATTCGGTTAGACTTTTCATCTCTAAATTCTTTCCAAAAGATACGTTCGTCTGTTATTAGCGTAAACAGGGTTTTCCCACTGAAACATATCGAAGATGACAATGTAATAATAATAATAATAAAAAAAATCATCCCGAACAAATGATTTATCATCAGACGTTTTTTTATCGGGTGTCGTTTTCCGACTTCATTATATATAGGTACCTACGTGTATATTAAATTTATTATAAATTATTATAATATAACGTCTTAAAAACGGCAAAAAAATGATTAACTGTACCGAAATGTTTTTTTTTTATTTTCTACCTCATTTACATTTATAGTTTTAAAAAATAATATAACTTTCATCGTCGTCTCATCGTCTTGTCGCTCAAACCGTAATTTGTCAACGTTTTTTTTTCTTTAGATATTAAATAAAACGGTAAAAATGTTTCCACTCTTTTGAGCACTCGTTAAGAATTATTATAAAACATTATTACGCGTTTGTAATTTAGTACGGACAATACTATTTTAAATAACGTTTATTACAATATAATTTATATTATATTCGTCTTCATCAATTCGCAAGAATTAAATTTTTTCGTAGGAATGAAAAAAAAAAATTACTGTTTATTCTGCCGTACAATTACGACGCCAAACTGCACACTAAATTGCCACGAAATCTCATTTACTCCGTCTACATAATTTTATTTTCCGTGGAAATGAACTAAAATATATTATGTTACATTTCGTTTCCCCCGAGTATGCTACACTGATTCTTTTTTAAAAATTAAATGCCTATAACGACCATTAGCTGCGGTGATCAAAGCCCTATCGTAATTTCATTATAATCGCTTTGCTGGCTTTCTAAAAATATTGTTAAAAAAAAAAAATGAATACAAAATCTAAAAAACCGTTCGCTATACGGACCTTGGGTATGATTTCTTTGGGTGCGTCTATCTTGCCGTTGCAGCCCAACACCTTGACGATGTCATCGATGTCACACTTCGGCACCCCGAGAGTCAATAGCCTCTGCTCGAGTTTCGCGAGCACGGGCGTGGCTTCGGGCTTCTTGACGCGATTGCCTTGCACTTCACTGTTGTGATAGACGATATTCGCCAGGGCCAGGCCAAGGACTGCGTTAACTGCATTCCTGTAGACGGGCGACGTGCCGTACTTTTCTATCGGCCGCTTGTACAGGAACATCACCTTGGGCGGCTCCGTCACCGACTTGCCCAGAATCCGGCTGGCCGTGCCCAAGACGCCGGTCACGGACCCGGCGGCCACATCCACAAACGGTTTCACCGGCTTAATCTGGCGAAGTGCGCGCGCCGCGCTTGTCGTTAACGACTGCGTGCCGTCCAAAATCATCGAAGGCGCCCTGCGACACCGTAAACAAATACCGTTATCATGACAATACAATATCGATAACAGAACGTTTAATTTCGAACCGGATAAAGGACGCGAAAGACAAAAGCGACAGGAATCTCGTGTGACAGCAAATACGTGCCAATGGGAGGATAAAAATAGAAAATTTGATGTAAAATTAATAAATAATACCGAGTTAATAGTATTGTTATAAAACATAAAAAAAAATACATTTATATCTAACATAATATACGTATATTTATATAGTATTAATAATATCCACTTTTAGAGCATCGATGCTTATGCCTGATCCAGTTCCCTCCTTCTACTCGTGCCCAAGGCTTGGGCGATAGCGGATCAGAGAATAGTGCATAGAGAATCGGGCAAAAGAAGGGCGCCGACACATTATACCATATAGAATCGATTATTTTATATTATTTATTTATTTCTCTAGGATAATATTTCAAAAAAATATTTATAAAATAGATTTAAGAGCACAACGAAAGAAAAACGATATAAAGTGAAGACACCAAAAAATATTTCATTATACTAATAGTAATCATTTTTAGCACTGATAAGATCAGAGCAAAAAATAATTAAATTTATATTCAGATTTGTTACTCAGTACCTTTCTTGATTATCGAGGTATTTAACAAAACTATATTTTCCTTCTACAAGTATTAATTTCACGAACGTATACACAAATTATAATTAAAGCTGCATAATTTATATTTTCGCTTATTTTATAGAGACAAAATTTCAGTTAAGAATGGTACAGAAAACAAATAACCTAAATAAATCATATATTACCAAATTAAAATTGAAGACCATCTTAATTGCTTTTTTTGATAATGATAGGTATTCACTGAGAGTTCTTAGCGACAAACAGTTAATTCATGTTTTTATATTGAAATTTTTGAAACTACTTAGGGCTTAGTTCATTTAATAAGTCCTGAAAATGAGAAAATAACTGTTTTTTACATCACGAAAACGCTTTGTGACATACATATCTTTTGTAGTCCAACAATTTTTGGCTGGTAAAAATAATTTAAACACCTGTATTCTTCAGATCTTGTGATTCTGTAGTTCTGGGTATTGGACTGAAAGGTAAAGTTTTACAAAGGTTCAATACATCAAAATCACATAGCTACTTTCAGGGAAATTCCAATTGTCAAAAGAATTTTCAAAGATGTTTCTAGCGGTTAAAAATACGTTGGAGTGTGTATATAGAGCTGAAATGTGACCTTTGAGAAAAACCTAAGAATGAAGTATGGCGGTAATTGAGAGAAAAATGCCCAGGAAAATATATAAGATGTAATTTGATGTCCACATGGGTAGACAGAGAAAATTACATAACAACGAATTTAAAAACAATTATTAACAGTCACATATGTATTAAAGCGTATTAGAAAAAGAAAATTGCTGTAGGCGAAATATGCCTAATGGAAACATGGCTTAATGAAAGGCTTTAAAAAAGGTTAGAGAAAGGTCTCTAAAAAGACTGCGGTTGAGTTAGGAAGATTGCACTAAAAGAGATATAAAGAAAATAAAAACTAAAAAAGTCACATGGCAAAAAGTGTATTTGTTAGTATTCATATTCAGCGCATTAACTGATCGAAACCAAAAAGGAAGAAGAAGAAAACGAAAAAATTAAAATTAAATTCCTGGGAAATTTTCGATTCTACAACGAGAGTAATAATATAATTGTTAATAATGGCGTACACTCACACTTACTCTTAGCAAAATTTTAGTTTTAATTTAAATTCAGAGAACCTAATTTATTTTGTTATTATCGATTTATTGCATTGTGTATTCGAGCTAAATGGGTATAGTATTGTTTACTTAAAAAAATAAAAAATAAATGCAAATTAGTAAAATGTAAAATGAAAATACAAAGGGCCAATTATTCACAGAAACACTATACATACAATACATATATATATACATAAATGCTGTTTGTTTTATTAATTATACCTATGGAAAATACGTTTAACGTTTAATTGGGTCAACGTCCATTAAAAAATCAAATTTCGAATTAAATACTTATTATAATAATAACACCCGTGTACTAAAAACAATATTGCGAGATATTAAAATTGATAAACAAATGAGTTTCGGTATCTTATGAAAATAGATCATATTTTATTGCGTAAGTATATATTTACATGTATGCAGGGGTAGGTAGACGCTATTGTTATTTTTACAATGGAAAATGTATTATGATGTTTTTTTTTTTAACACAATTGAATTAATATAAAAATAATCATAAATTAAAATAAATAACATTAGTTAAAACCGTTAAAAAGAAAAATGTATAATTGTCAACCTGTACATTTAAAGTATATATAAAAATATATAAAAAGTATTCAACGAACGTATACAAATATTTGTTGTAAATAGACAATATTTAAATAAAACTATAACACACGAAATTATTTTTTTTTCAATTTAACAATTTTATAATAGTAGTTATCTACGATTATTTCTTGTAAAACCGCGATTTCAGTGTTTTTCATTTATTTTACTAGGATCGATTAATATATTTTTAATACTATTAGGTATGATATTATAATCCAATAATCCACATACCAAAAATAACATAATGTATGTCAAATTTAGATTTTTAACTGGCAAACCTCCCATTTTTCCTTTCAAACCGGATTCTTTTTCCAAATTCATGCTGATAAGTGGTTAAGGTTTTTATTTTTTTTTAAATAAAATATTAACTTTTAAGATATTACTGAATTATAGGGAAGAATATTTAAAAACAGTGTAAAAATAATAATGCTCATTTAAATAATAATTGCCATACTTAACGGCTTTAAAGAAAAACAGAAATCGAATCTACTTTAAATTGTCCGAAAACATTGTTGGTTAAAAAAAGTTACCTGTATACAAAAATTAAAATTATTAATTATTATAATTTATCACGGTAAATGCATACTTGGAAACTGTTCTAATTAACGATCCGGCGGAACTTGCCATATCCTCCAAAAAATTGCTATCGACCTCGACTGTTAGGATGCCGACTGCTACGAAAATTAGCTGCGAAAATATACAATTAGTATCCAAATTAATACTCGAATAGGTAAATTAACGAGTTAATAAATAAGTTATGTTGCTAAACTAAGTTTATTTCAAGTCTTTGACTTTGCCAGATAATGGTTCTTTCTTCAGTACAACTTATCAATTTTATTAAAATAACTTCAATAGTTCTATAATGTGTAATCAAATTAAATTTACACACGTCAATTACAATTCGTCGGTCTAGATTAAATTAAAGTTAATTTGGATTTTATCTTTTTGACTTGACGAGTGAACTTTTTACAATCGAGCTAATTTTTTTTTTATCAAGTTTAAAAATATCTACGAATTTTCCCATTTCGCTGTAGTTCCGTGTTTTAACATAGGAATTAATTAATTAATCTTTTATTTTATTTCGATATAAACGCATTTATCTTCTATTTTCGACTAGTTATATTCGAATTTTTTTATCATTATCCAGATAATTATTTAGTTACCTAATCCAAACACTGCTGACTTATAATTAAAAAATTATAAATAAACCATTAAGTTTTATCGTCAAATAATTATCGATAATAATATTATTTTTATTTAGTTTCTAAGTTGTCAAAAATAATCCAACATGTATTTTTTATACATATATATATATTATATGTATTTTATATATATGTGATATTGTGTGTAGAATGGAAATTCTGTATAATGCCTGACGTGTTATATTGCAGTCACGACGTGAATCCAAAATCAGTTTCGCGCCATCCCGCGGGTACGACGACGTGGTTCACGCCCCGAAATGACTAATGTACCTCGAACATGTCGAATAATAATTGTTTTTACTGAACATTTTCAAATCGATTGTTTTCTGACGGTATACGTGCGAAAACAAATTTAAAATATCGAAAAGTGTTGGATATAATTCGCACCGCGGATAGGCCACAACAACACCATACCAAAAAATCTCTTAAAAATAATGATTGAAAATGAAAAAAAAAAAGCTGTCCTAAGATAATGGGGATAGGTGCAGCCACTGTTGTAGATGGGAAATTGAAAAGGTAGGATGCAGAAGAATTTTAAATACATTAAATTGAAGTTAGGAAGGTAGCAGAGGAGGGGACATTTAGTGTATATCTGTAAGCTACGATAAACCATTGCTAATGAAAAAACGATTATGAGCAGAGTTCAGTTGATAGTGATGCTTTGTTAACAATATAATATATGTCTTATTGTGATAAAATAGTTAAATAGGCATTATATATTTTTTTTAATAATATTTGTTTAATATTGATCCGATTTTCCCGGTTTTTACATGTTCTTTCCCGATTTTTCACATTTGCTGGGAAAACTTTTAGGAAAATTGAAAAATTACCTCCCTAAAGAAATACCCTAGGAAAATATCCTATCAGAAAAAGATCTACATTATATACATCGAAGCAAGATTTATGGTAGAATTTTTCAACAAAAACAAAATAAACGTCTTTGTAAAACCAATATATTCTTCACTACTCAGAACATAAAAAAAACTTTAAATAAACTACTTTACCAAAAATCATTATTTAAACTATGATGCTGTTAATTTATTTGTATCATCGATCATTCGTCAAATAATGGATTTACAAAAAATTCTATCAATGTACTTTTTGATTTACAATTTTATTTTTTACAAATAAAATTCTATACTTTTTGAATCTATGTGCTATGTACTATGGTTAATTAATAAAACTTAGAAAAAAAAAAATAATACCAGTACAAAAGACAACCCTCTCCGTCAAAGTTAGAGTTGTCATAGCTAAACTTTGTAAATATTATTTGTATACGTTTCTAATAAATATTTATGGGCGTATCAATTAAAATTGTTATTCATTCTCCTATGAATAGGACCAACTGTTTACCTCAAAAAACATTGAAAAAGTTCGAAAATTGTCCCGAAAGATCATTTAGGACGCACTAGTGATCTGGGAAATTATCAGAGGGCGTTGAAAGTATCACACAATCCCAGCCGAGATCCCGACGAACGTATTTATGTTGAATAATTACAAGCGAATCTGTCGGGAAATTTAACGAACGCTGGTCTTAAAAAAAAAAAAAAAAAACCCAACACTAATTATATTATACGAATAAACTGCTATAGATAACTCGATACGATATTAATTCCGTATAAATTAACAACCGTTATTCAAATTTAATATCCGAAGGATCGTTTTTCTCTGATATTTATTCATTGCCGATGTCGCGTGAATATATTTTATCAAAATATTTATTCAAAAATATATACCTGCTCTTATATTACTTACGGGATATTTCGCGAAATATTATGATAATATTAATTTATTGTCATCATTACTCTCGCGCTCGTTTCGATTTTACTATAATAACTAAATTATTATTTACTCAATATTTATAAATTTATTCGTAATAATATATGCGAATAATTATCATTTTTGTTATTATTGACGACTGCTATGCACGAATATTTTCATTAAACGATTTGTGTGCGTGTGTGCACGCATGTATAATGGACAATGATAAATAAAATGAAAATTCTCCGCGAATCGAATCGCGTCGGACAAAAATAATATATTTTTTTTTTCAAACCGTAGATATATTTTATCGTATTAACGACGTTATATTACGATTATAATTTTTTATTCGGAATCGCTTTATAATAATATTATTATTATTATAGTCTTATATCGCAGGTATCGTCGCAGCATCCGAGCAATTTATGGCCTATACATGTATATATAAGTACTAACTCCGATTTGTTTATTTTATTCTTTTTTAATATTCGACGGTATTGAGATTTCCCTCGTTCGCGCGCCCATCGGATTTTTATTATCGGTCACGAAATTCCGGCGCGCTCTATATTTTTCATTATTGTTATTATCGTTATATATTGATAAATAGTTTACAAGGTATAAATTCCGATTCGAAGTCAGTCAGCAGTCAGCAAATAACATAATATAGGCATATATTTTTCGCGGTGGACGGCTTTCGGCACACTCGACTGCAGTCACGATATTATTGTAATACAATATAAATGCGTGCGCGTTTATTAAATTCTTGTAAACGCCAATTTGTTTCTTCAATAATACGTATGCGGAATACGGATTTAATCAAATGATATGAAAGCGTACGAATAATAATACGTTTCCAGGGGTCCGTATACGAAATCGGAAAAATAAACGGGATTTATTCACATAGTACCTACGCCCTAAAAACGATTAAATCGTGAAAAATGCGTGAGTGAAATTTGAATCCGTTATTGTTTTTTAGATTCTGAGTGAAGTGAGGAATGTATTGGGTGTTACAACGATGCTTATTTTTTTTTTTCATCTGTAAACAGCTTTCTACCAGAAATCTTGCTTCGATTTTCAAGTGCAGCACTTTTTCCGAAAGGAAATTATTTCCTAGGTGGTATCTTCTTTAAGAGATCATTTAATGATTTTCCAAGCGATTTTCAAAATAATGCAGAAAAACCGGGAAACGTATTATTTTTAATTTTGTTTCGGTAGATACTATTTTAACAAAATTGTTTGGCCAAACTGAAATGCTTGACAATTTAACGTTCTTTATAATGGGCGAAGTTTATTATAAGTCGTATTTTGTGGAAAAAAAATTGTGTGTAATATAGTATTTCTATTTATAAGAATTTTAGTGTTAACACAATTTTGATGAAAATTGTAAATATTACAATCTTTTAAAACATTTATAACCGAACTCTGAACTCAGAATCGTTTTTCGTTAGCAATTATTAACCGTTGCGTAAATTGAATTCCACTTTATATCCTACCTATCCAATGATTTATCTTCAACGGTGACCCACCCATCTTGCGAAGTATGTCTGTGTTTTTTTTATACTGTGAGAGGCGGTTTTCGAATTTATATTAAAATATAACTTGCAGAGCCGATACGCATTTTAACCAAGTGACTTACTTTGATGATTCTGTGAGGGTATACTTAAAATTCAAGTTTTTTCTGTGAAACCGTAAAATATATGTATAAATATAGTTGGGAAGAGGTTTGAAAGTTGAAACCACTAGAGGTCTTTTATATACTTCCACCATGCATACACAAAATTGTACATCTCCAAGCTTAATTTGGGTGGATATACACATGGGTGCATAAAGCGTCCCTTTTCCCCATCAAGATGGTGATGTGTTATACAGAATTTGTTATTATATCGTTTCGCTGAATCGATCGGACTGATTAAGGAAAAATTGATTTGAACAGCTATTTTGCATAATATATATAAATGAGTGTGTGTGCGTGTGTTAAAAAAGAGTGAAAATATCGGTATACAATCCCCTTGAGTCGAAAGTAATGTCGGCGTTGTTTTACGTCACGTCTGATTTAAGTTTTTCACGAATAAAACGCGAAATTATTTTTGACATTAAAAATGTAGTACAATCAGTTTGACGTTAATAGTATATTATTTTCAATACCTACCGAAAGAAATAAGACCAAAAACCGTTGTTATACGCCGTAGCATAATATGAAACGAACAGCTATTTTCTCGTTACTGCGTTGGTTTTTCTCGTAGTTGCAATATTTTTTTATTATTGTCGTCCGAAAAACACGTCTTTTATTTTTTTCTATATATAAGAATGTGTGATGTCTTTTTTTCGAAACCAAAAGCTAACGTATCGCCTGTTTCGTTTTAGCGATCAGTGTGGGGGTAGGGTGACGTGAGCGAACTTCATACCGCGAAAAAAAAATACACCGATTATGATAATTTAATTTTTTTTTTATTTTCACTTTTTGTCATCGAGTGCCTTTGAAGAAACCTTTATTTTATTTATTTATTTTGTATTTTATTTTTTTTTTTTTTTGCTGTTACAGTCTTCTTCCTATCGGCCTCTTTGCCATAAATTCTCAAATCCACAACTTCTTTTAAACGTTTCGCTTTATACCTCTATTATTTTTTTTTTTTATATATATATATCAAACAGCTTAATCTCGACCATTCGAATATTTCGAGCGTATATAAATCGAACGGCAACACACATAAGTCGCATTGTTTGAAAAGTTTCACAGCCTTTATTCACAGAGTGCGTCGCGATATAATATACAAGCCCGGGCGTTAGATTATTAACAAATATGTTCAGATACAATTTCGGATTTTTTGCCAGATCTTACATAGAACAGTTTGAATGGTTTCATTTGTTCAAAATACTTAGGCACAAATCTGCGACTTGATAGTCAAATAGCAAAATATAAAGTTTTTAAATTCCGATTTGAATCTCACAACAACTGGACATTGAGTACATCTATTTTTACTGGAGTAGTGAAGAAAGGTTTTCTAATCCGGTGTAAATAATTCATGTTTAACAGCGGTAACTGAAACTCTAATGTCTAAAAAAAAAACAATTGGATTTTCGATTCCGACCGGTTTCAAAAACGTGCTAGTTGCTGTATGTTTTAAAATCAAACGTCTAGGTACCTGCAATTAAGGTCGAGCAAAATTGTGTACCTAGATAATAATTCTAGTACTTAAATGTGTATTTGAGTAAAAAAAATTATTATTCGAATAGATTTCTATCGTAATATCGACCTCTGTACAAAAATAAATAGATGGGACACGTGCAGCCAAGCGATGTTTAATCGAACGAAATAAACGAAAATTAACCGAATGACTATAAAAAATTCATCAGAACAATAATTTAATCGAATACAATTATATTTAAATAACGCCCCACCATCCATATCGCTGTATATAATACATACTGTGTGTATTTATATATTGCACAATATTTGTAAACATCGTATCATTATATATTTGTAGGATGAGCGGAAACCGAGAAATCACCTTGTATGATATCGAAAATGTATTTGTTAAAACGAACTATCAACTCATAGATCTACCAAATCCCCGTATAAAACAAGTATAACCGGCTCACGCATTATGTACTGTAATTACTCGCAAACTAATAATACTTCAGTTCGCCAGAAAGTTACCTATATTCACATGAATATAATAATACCACAATGCATGCCACTGCGAACTCGTATTACGCGATAATAAATCAGATTTTCAGCTGCGAGTGTACACCGTGCAGTTTAACCGAACCTCGGTGTCGTCGTACAATGAAACGCACTTGAAAAGCTTTTCAGAAAGCATCACTTCCGCACTACTATTCGGTATTCAAGTGTCGTGTGCATACAACTCGTCCGTAATAATATTATTGCAAATTCACCGCCAAAACAAACGGAAAGCGTAGTTTTCGGTTGGTCAATTCAAAAACGATTTAGGAAGTTTACTTAATTGTATTATTAAGCGACGTGAGCTACTTTATGATTTGCTCTGCAGTGTCCGTCTGACTGTCCATCATCTGTGTGCGTTCTTATTTCTTAAACGATTGTGAATTTTGCAAGAATAGTTTTCACTACTTGAATCGTTTAGCTATTCAGAAGTCCGTTGATTTTCAGTCCAAAAACAAAATGTGTTGGAAGGCCAATCTGTCATACTACTCATCACCGTCATTAACGATTTGTTTTTGTAAAAAAAAAATTGCAGCTCAATATATTTTTGTAACAAAGTAATATTATAAGTAGTGCCCCGATTTAAATGCACTAAAAATCATCAAAAAAGGCTCCACAAAATACCTTTACAAAAAATGCATTTTATTGCGAAAAAACCTTTAAAAAATAACATACAATTTTTAAATTTATTATTTTATTGGGTAATTAATAATATTTTTATTTTATTTAAAAAAAAAAAAAAAAATTGAAAATTGAAAATTTGACTTGTGACTAATGACGATATAACAATAGTATTGACTGATGACTGGACAACCCAAAAAAAAACATGGGTAATATTTTGAATTAGCTAAATTTAAATTATTAAGTCGTATCATAGATTATATATACCAAGTATATTTAATCGATGGTTGTATTATGTACAGATATACTCGTATTTTGTACAAATTGTTTTAAAAATGATAAAGTATTGAAAAATGCAAAACAAAACAAAACAAAAATGTCATATTTTAAATATGTGTTACATGAATCAAATTATGTACTTGGAAAGTATTGTATAATATCACTCAAAAAAAGATGCATTTTGCACTTAAATCCGGGCCTTAAATATAAATGTTTCTTTTGTTCACTCGGAAAGTGGTTGAACAAATAAAACTCAAATTTTAAAATATTACTCGTATCTTCTAAAAATTATCCACAAATTTGGTAAACGCAATAAGGAGCCGATTAAATTACAATAGGAGAGACATGTTTGTATAGGAATCATAACGAGCTTATAAAAGCGGTGATGAAATTCGTGCAAAAAAAGACTTCTTAAGAATGCCCAGAACGAGATGGCCGAAAAATCCTGGAGGTCTGATCTAAAAAGACAACTGATCGAATGTGAGATTGAATGGTCGTTGAATTTATATAGAGACAAGAGAAAAATAACAAAAATTGTAAATATTGCATCATATAAAAAAAATTAATTCTATATTCATTTAACGATTTTTCAGTGTCATGGGCAATTTTGCTTCTAGCTGTGATATACAACGTTAGATATAATAGATATAATTCCATTGAACAATTTTAAAGAAATTAACAACTTTATTTCTAGACACCGAGCTGTACTGAGATACAATTATATTATTATTTCCTTGCGAGTTTTAATTAGACATCTGACGTTAATAAACACCGTCAATGATAAATTAATGCCTAACTGCGAACAACGTTTTTGCGAGTATATTTCAAGTTAAAATCGCATTCTTTATTAGTTAACCAATAAAATACGAACATTATTCATTCGAGGTTAGATTAATTAAGGATGATGTATTGTATTGCAAGCCGAAAAATGGATGAATGTAAAGCCCATCTGGTGAGTTCAAATTGAAATCTTCTTAAATGAACGACATCGTGTATATAGGCGATGCATTTTTATTTTTTTTTTTTTTTTAAATAAACGATTAGTTTCGAGGTAACGTCGGATATTTTACTGTCTAACAGAAAAAAAAACAGGTTGGGTTAGGCAAGATATTTATAAATTTTATTGTTAGACGTATAGTTTTCCGTGCTAGATTTAAACCAATTATTAGAATAATTGTATTATTTTATTTTATTGAAATTCACTTTATTGGAAGCAAGTCATTTATTTTATATATTGCAGGGAAATAATCTGTGTCGGTGTTTTTGTTTTTGTTTTTTTTTTTTTTTAAATATAAGCATAATATTATATAATATAGAAAGAGTAAATATTGGCTACGTGAAAATACCCGATTTTAACATGTGTGTTTATACGTGATTTACGAATTTAAAATGAAATACGGGCAATAAAACAAGCATGTAGTATTGCTCGATAAAATTCAATCGGAATCAATTTCAGTACAAGTGTGCACGCTACACTAGGTATAATACATATTGAATACTCGGATTCAATTTGTAAACAGAGAATAATCAATTTCGATGTATTTAAATTGACATTGTTGTACTATGCAACGACAAAAACAACAACAGCAACAACGACATCAATAATGATAAATTCTCGGGGGTTTCGGGTTTAATCTCTCAGAATCCTAGTAACAAAGAAAAACTAAAATAATTTACGATCTGTTTTAAATACGAAACTGAGTGGTGTGAATAGCGAGAATCTCTTAAACTTCTAAAAATAGCTCAATATTCACACGTGACGTGAAAAATCGAAAGTACGGTACCGAATATAAAAAACTAAGTGAAATATAGGTGCTATGAATTTTCTTTGTTTCATAACGTATCATTTTATAACGCTAAGATATTTTAATGGCATTTTAAACGTGATAATAGGTCCTGTTTTTGTATGCAATTTAAAATACGTATATATAAACAAATGGTATGTAATGATAATATAGAATAATAAAAAAAATTTCAACTGTCCAGTTTTTTCCGTACGCCGATACATACGTCTCAAAAAAACGTGCTAACGATTTTCCCCTATAAATTGGCAAAGTTTCTGAACTATCAAAGTTTGATTTATTAAAGCTCTTCTATAGGTGCAGAGAGATATTATAATAATACATTATACTGGTTAAAAATCATAGTTTTAAGGTTATAAGGAAATTTTTTGTTCGAAACACCTAATTAAAAATAGATTTGACAACAAAAACTAAACATTGTAAAACAAACTATGTGGTTATATAATTTAATATTTTACAAAGAGTAACGAGGAGGGGGGGATAAATATTCTAATTTTAATTTACTTACCGGGGATTCGAAACGTGTATGTTACCATTTTTTGTCCGACATTTAAGAAACATAGCAAATTAGAGCAATTTATTTTGTCCATCAGATCATGAATAACAGATAATAGAATTGAGCAATATTCAGCGTAAAGTTTGCATGAGATCATCCCAGGTCTGCATCCAAATTAATTTTAGTTTTTGTTTTTCTGTGTATTTTTTTAATGTTTACATTTTCAGGAATAATTCACGTCTGAAATTATTCAAAAAAGTGACCAGACCAATATTGTGTACATTGCACGTTGAATTCGAATTCAGAATTTCGATTGCTTCACTGCGTCGATCAGATAGACTGAAAATCTGTCTAAATTGCTAGGCTGCGTAATCTTATATTGTGTTTGTGACAAAAAGAAAAAATATCCGTTTTGAATGGTCCTAAATTTTTGATTTTTTTTTTCGGTATAATAATATATTTTTTTTCTTTATACTTACCTTATATTCGAGATAAATACTTCGCCCTCTGTATTAATCATTATATAAAATATATTAGGTACATTTGAAGAAGTAGGTACTGCTCGCCCCCTCCCTGGGTTATACACAAGAACACAAGCACGGTCCAGCGGGGTGAAAACAGTAGATGAGTTAACAAATTGCATATATGAAGCAGGAAAGAAATTCGGAAAAATAAACTCTTAAATATCTAATTGTCTCGAAATTTGGAATTCGTGACTATGTGCGTATTATAATATTATGTTCTTGTGTCCTTTATCCTGGAACTTTCGGGTTTACTGCTAACCCCGCCCCCTACATCGTCGCAAGATTCAAGCACTGCTGCATTTCCGCGGGCCTATCGTTATTATAATATTATACAGTATACGCCGCAATATTTTTTTTAATTTACCTGGATCACGAAGATGTGTCGACAAAATACGAATTCGGCCATTTTTACTCCGACTGCGCTGTAATAATAATAATAATAATAATGATAACAACAATAGAAACGATGTTTAGCGACGTGTCCGGTTTCGGTGACGGGGCGAAGAAAAAATCAAAATTATCGTAAAATATTTTGGGGGAAAAAAAATGTATATACTCGTGCCCGTAAAAATAAAAAATGAAAAAAAGCTTCGTCGTTAATATATGCTGACAGCGGTTTCAGGGCTACGTCAAAAAAATAAAAAACAGTAGTCGTTATTATTATTATTATTTTCGCGGACGTAATACAACTGCTGCTGCTGTCGCTGTTGTTGTGGTGTCGGTCACCAAATGTCGTCGGTCGTGATAATAATATTATATTATAATATTTTCGAACAACTCAAAATGGGAGAAAAAAAATAGCGAAAAACATAATTTACGCACAGACGCACACGCGCAACATTATTATTATTATATATTCGAATATAACATGTGCTAGTGACAATTACGATAATTGCCGGCGTGCGAAACCCGCGGAGAACAGCAGCTTTTTTTTATTTTTTTTTTTCACCCGCGCGTCGCCTTAACGCCAAACACATATTTTTTTTTCGATTTTAACCCTGTAAAATGTTAATTGTTTTAATAACATTGTAATATGCGAATGTTCATGCGCTCACGAATTCGATCGCGTACACTGCAACAAATACTAAACACTGAAATACAAATACTGCAACAACAATATACTAACAATAGTATATAATAATTATATCAGGGCTCGCGTTAGAAACGTCGTTTAAAAAAATAAAGTAAATTTTTAAGCGTTAAACGTGCACTTAAAATCGCCGAAACGAGCGCTATGAATAGCGCAGAAAATTTGAAATTACGCAAAATAGAATGTTCCGTTTCAAATCCGATTATAATGCGACCGACACGATTGAAAAAAAAAACCAAACTACTCGTATAATGGAAACAAGCGAAATCGTGCCGGTAATTATACCGAATACGACCGTATTTTCCGAATGCGTTGAGGTCCGTAATATATTCGAAAACCAAAGCAAAGTATAGCTAAATTAGAAAAACAACTCTAGAAGTTGTAATTATGAAAAAAAAAATCAGTGAAGTATAAAACAAATTTGTTTTTTTACTCAGAATGTTCTATGCAGACATGTTTTAAGGCGGGACATGGGTGTTAAATTTCAAGGGGCATCGTAATCGTTTAATATATAGTAGAATATTAATTTTTTTTTAAATATTAACTTCACGATATACACTCACTCAGCAGGACCTAAAATAATGTGTTTTAGAGCCCAAAGTTTACAGTACAATTATACAAAATATAAAGCAAGTAGCTTTGTAGCTCGAAATTCCAATGCGTCGAAAAATTGTATTCTTATGAAAGAGCATTAAAAGAACAGTGCCCTGGGTACTAAGAATGTAAGTATGTCTCTGGATCTAGGAGTCACCAAAAATAATATGCAAACACTATGCTTCCAAGCCATGATAACGATCTATTATACATGTCAAAATTGGATTCGAAATATTAGTAAAAAGAGGTTAGGTTATATCAATAGGTATCCTCATAAAAATTTCACAAGTGCTAAGTGCTAAGTGCCCTATTAACTAACTTTTCAGACAATCATCACAGTATAGTCACTACGGGGCAACTGTTAAATCTTGACAAGTTTGCTAATATCAAACATATCTTGCATTTCATGGAAAACCGACTAATGGCTTGCTTCAAATTGAGTATTAATATATTGGTATAACCGGATTTTTTTAAAAGAATCAAAAACCTGTTTAAAAAAGTAAATTACCAATAATTGGCAATAAGCATAAACATATTTTGAATCCAAATAACCTTTTGTTTAGAACAAAAATTTGAGTAAAAACTAAATACTTTGGGCAAATATTATGGTAATTGCTAATGTTTCGTCAAATAGGTTATTTTATTAATTCAATTCATATTTTTCATAAAATTTAAATAGAAGATTTTTCAATATTACATTGGATGATCATGAATTGGTTTGGCAACAATATATACCGATACTGGGTTGCCAAACTTAAAAAACGTGTTAAAAAATTAAAAATTAAGTTAACTTTGACATTTAACAATTGATTTTAGATTCTTAGTGCATACAACAATTTAATGGTTTTACAAATATGTATATTATTATTATTTCTTCACTATTTTTTTTTTATACTGTATCAAAAATTCTACCAGAAATCTAGCTCCAAAGTATCAAGTATAGGAAATTTTCTGAAAGGAAATAATTTTCGTGACGTAGTATTTTAAGGAAGTCATATTTTTGATTTTTCCAGGAGGTTTTCCCAATAAATATGAAAAAACGAAAAAAACGAAAATGGATACAATATTAAACCAATATTATTAAATAAAATGTATAATGCATGTATGCAATTATTTTACCACAATATAACATATATATTATATATTGTTGACAAAACATTGTTTTTCCTTAGCAATGGTTAATCGTTGTTTACAAATATACATTAAACTTTTCCTCTCTGCCTTCCTCACTTCTCACCTACAACAGTGGCCCACCCACGTGTAAAGTATGTCCGTCTTTTTCTTTTTTAAAGTTACAAAATAACTCGTAAAATCAACAAAAATCGTTTTATTTTCGTACCTATTATGCCAACAGCCTCCATTCCCGTTTAGGGGACGAGTTTGTCAGGCGGGGAAAAGTAGCTTAGACGTTATTGCTCGTCTATATAGAATTACGTCTATGCAGAGTTTCGAATCGATTCGTTCATAAAACACTGTGCTTTGGTAAACCGGCACTATACGAATGTATCAAAATATTATACGGCGTTTCGTTTGTTCGGCTATACGCGTAATTCTGAACGTTAAAGTTTACATTGTGAGAGAAAACGGACCGTCCCCCCGACGACGTGCCGGTCAAAATCCACAGCTAACGTGAACCGAGACTTCCAGCCGAAAAGTCGTTCGTCGCGGACCGTGAAAAGGAAAAAAGCGTGCCATTGTTGAACCGTTACTACTTATACAGAATTTCGCGCGGAAAATCGATAATAATTTCGAATTTGGGTAACAGCAGGTATAGGCCGCAGGTACATAGGTAGATAGGTAGGTAGGTATATTATTGTTATTATTATTATAATGATATCGTACCTAAACCGCCGCGTATTATAATACTCGTGTTATTATTATTATAATTATTATTATTATTACGGTACGACGCGCGCGGTAAGTGTTCGGTACATTCGCATTATGCTAATGAGAACTCTACGAGTATGTGTTCGCCCGGCGACGCGGTTTAAACTTCAAACGACAATATCGTAACTACATGTGTACAATAAACAATTTCTAAATCGAAGACGAGCGAAACGCGCGTATACGTATACAAGTGTAAGTTTTGCGCGTATAATAATAATATTTATGTGTGGGCGAAAACGTATAAATTCGGATAATTGTTTACGGGCCGGAAGACACGGCGCGCGCCCTTATCGTTAAACTTCGACTTTTTCAAAGAGCTACGCGTGTAATCCGACGCGTACACTCACGGTGGCGCTCAAACGGCGGACGACCTAAAGTGTTTTCGACAATCACAATATTCTGTATAACGTTATTATATTATTTTCGACGGATTCGATTCACGGTCTTGTTTCGAATATTGTTTTTTAAATCGTTATCATCACTCGTAACACGTACACGAGCGAATGCGATTTCCATCGCCACCACCACAGCCCCCTTCCAACCCCTCCACCTGTCTTTTTCGTCTACTCGTGAGACTTTAGATAACTTTCGAGACTTATATTACTGATGTACGGGATTCATAAAAGTACGCAATATCAATTTAACATACTGCGATACGAGGTCGTGATATCGTTTACGTCGAATCGAATAATAATATTATTGTTCACTGCCTATCGGTTAGTTTTCATGTATACAAAACTGGTGTGATGTCTTTCAATGTTTAAAAACCGTTTACTATATATACCCGCCGTTCGCTATTTTTACCGTTTAAAACGAAAATAAAACGAATAAATCCGTATACTCAATCGTTTAAATACGATAGTCGAAGGGGAAAAAACCGTATTTAGTAGGTGTATTATTATCGTTTGACGGCTACCCGTTAAAATATCCGACCTTAAAATTGGATTTAATGAAATCTACCCCGCCGCTTGTGGCGGTCGGTGAGTGTTAATAAAACTTTATCGTTTAAAACAAAATGATAATCTTTTCCGGTATATATTAAAAATAAAGTTTATACCGTATTGAAATACGCCGCCGGCCGGTGCACTTGACCTTTAAAAAACAAAAAAAAAACAAAATACGTAGATATAGCACGCGGTACTTTGTTATTTTTTGCGTCTGCGAATAAGTTTTAAATTTAAAAACAAACGGACATACTTCGCACGACAGGCGAGCCACTGTTGTAGGTGAGAAGTCAGGAAGGTATATAAAGGAAATTTAATGCATATCTTCGCGTAACGATTGATCATTGCTAACGAAAAACGATTATGAGCGGAGTTCGGTTTTACATGCTTTGAAATGTTTTGTAATATTTATGCTTTGAAAATAATATATTTCGTGAATTTTTCCGTTTTTTACATTTTTCCCCGGTTTTCTCGATGGAAAACTTTCTGGAAAATCAAAAAACTGATCGCCCTAAACTAGCATCTCACAACAACTTTCTTACTGAAATGGTACTACACTTGAAAACCGGAGTGAAATTTCTGATAGATAAGAAGTTCATAAAAAAAAAAAAAAAATAACATCATTGTTAAGCCAATGCATACCTTGCTTCACTTAGCATGTAAATTATATATATACATATATACATATATTTATATAATAATACAAAGTTATCTATTTTGTCATGGACTGGCGATTTTCTCGGAGGATTTTTTGTGAATTAAAATTATGTTTTTACACGTTCGATTTTAAAATTGGAACCCCGTATCATATTTTTAACACGAATTCAAACGAATTAAGAGACTTCATTCATTGCTCTGGTAACTGATTTTCTGATATAATTGATAAACACAAATAATGGGTTTACGTTTATGAATATTATATTCTTATAGCCTTATCACAGTTAAAAATGTATACCGGAGAATTGAGGTAAAGTAATAAAAAACTTAGTAATGTCCATTTTTATATGATAAGTTTGTAACTATTATACCTACTCCTACGGTATAAACAGTTTAGATTTAAACTGTTATAAACATTTATAACTCGTAAACAGTGGAAAAATATTCTCTATTCGAATCTAAGCAAGTTAACAATGGCTGGAAAGGGTTTCTGTTTTAAAATCCAATGCGTATGATCTTCATTAGGGATAATATTATAGGAGCGTGGGCGATAAATCGAAATTAGTATTGAAACGGAGCAGCGGCGTATTTAAGAATTGTTATAGGGATGGAATGAGCCATTGAATGACAAATATAAAGGTGATCTCCCTTGAGGTTTCCAAAATTTGCTCACTTAATATTGTACAGTTTACACTTTGCACACCATATATTCATTATAATACTTAAATTTCACATTTCACATTACATACATTCATTATAATAACTTACATACTCATACTTTCATACTTAGCAATTTTAACGAAAAATTAAATTTTCATTGTTTAGTTGTCAGTCTATCAACTATTTCACCAATATGTATGCCTATTGTCCAATGAAATGATTATATTTTTAGACTATTAAGACGTTCCTAATAAAATTAAAATAATTAATAATATATTATATAATAATAAAACATTATAAATTATAATATTGTATAGCAATATTAGAAAATAATATGCTAAAAACCTTATTCATTGAATTTCTGCAGAATGATTTTAAACGTTTTAATGTAGAAAAGTTCCGTTCAGATGTTTCTGTAGAAACAGTTGCCTATTTGTTACTTTGCAGTAACAAATATTTTAAGCAAAAAATGGATGTTTGGATAAATATTTTTATCGCAGTTTTGTAAGGCTTATAATCAATATTTTGTTATATTTTCACTGCCTAAAGCTAATTTGAGGTTCCACAATTTTAGTTCTGCCAAATAATTGTACTTATCGGTAATATGAGAATAAAGATCTACTAACTTTTGAAATTCTGTTTTATCTTTATCAGTAAACTCTGAGTGAAATAAGCATTCAAAACCTAGGGATTGCAGTAAGATTTTTGTAAATAAAATAGAAATATACCTTTTAACTATTACAATATTTTATAACCAATGTTTTGGTATTACCTTTTAAAATATTTATATGGTTTGTGAACTTTTCTTTAGATTGAGATATGAAATGATCTATATAATGCAAAAATATTGACACACGAAAACAGTCTTCATCTGATTTTATATTTTGAGGATTAGCTCTGTTAGTTTATTTGGTTGTTATACGTTTTCTATTGATAGTAATCTTAAATAGATCTGCTGGTTTCTATAAGTGAATACTTAGATTAACATATAAAATAAGCATTATGTTTTTATACTATCTTTGCTTCATTGAAAATTAATTTGATTACTTTTTCAGAAGCTTTCCATATAAATAATAACGTTTTCAATTAAATCTATTGGTTTTTTTTTTTTTTTAAATCAATTTTTTTTTGCAACAGTTTGCAAACCGACAAGCTATATTAAACGGATTCCTGAGATAAAACATCTACTAATTACTATTAAATATAGTCAAATTAATACATAGCTATGTATTTAGTATTTAATTTAATTTTATATTTAACCTTGGTAACATATAGTGAAACCATAAACTCAGAGTCTTGAATACTCTTTAGAAGCATACTAACATCAGTGGTAGTTGTTTTTTCATTCTGAAGTGATATAAATTAAATATTTGATAACATAACGATAAAGTTCACAAAAATCATTTAATGCATCGCATCTTGGCACCCATCGAGTGGTACAAAGTCTTTTAAATGTAGTAATACTGAGTGTATGATCAGTTGTTTAAATTCAATTTTGTAGTACATTGTTTATTTTAGGTGTATTAAAAAAGATATGTAGTTTTTCAACTATTCCAAGACAATTTCTTTTCGGTCTAATGTTACTTGACGAGGACAGCTAAATTTAGGGAATGTGCTGAATAATGGACATATAATGTCATAAAAAACTGATCATTAATTATTTTCTGTACACCTCTAAATTCACCAGCCATATTGTTGGCCCCGTCATATTCTTGACCGTACATAAACTTATAGTTTATTCCAAGGTCACTTAAACCTTAAAAAAAATGGAAAAATTAAAATTAAAATTGAATCATTTATTATAAATTATAAAATATATTACCTTTTAATATGGAAGTTGCTAAGTCTTTTTCTGTTTAACTATGTTTAGAGAAAAACTGGAAAACAATTTCATAGAGTATATTTTTACATACCTCATACATAGATAATTTCTCATTTGTCAAAATGTCTATTGTTTCATCTGCCATCAGAGAAAAACATCCAGACATATTTTTTTGTCAATAATTTTCTTTTAAATGATTTTGTTGCGAACTTTAATGATTTGATTTTATATTTCTAGACTAATGTACTTATTCCGTTTGCCTAGTCCTTTTAGTATTGTTTTTAGATAATCATTCTCTTTAGATCTATACTTTAAAATAGTCCTAAAGTTCCCTTCGTTACATTTATCATCTAAATTATTAAAATTAAGTTTTATTTTATAACTGTTATAAATTAATATACAAAATATAGATGTATACAATTACCACTAATATCAATTTGGCCATGATTACGGTGTTCTCTTAAAGAAATATCTTCTGGACCACATAATAAGATAGATTAAATAATCGGTAACAAACGTTTCTTATGTTCTTGTATTTGAATAGTTCTATAAACTATTATACATTGAAATTTAAAAATATAATTTATAAGTAAAGAAATTTACAAAATACATAAAATATGACTAAGTTACCTATCATTATCAATTTGTTGTATTATTGGCAATTTTCTTTTTTCAAAAACATTCAAAAATTCTTTGAATCTAATACAGCATAAATATGGTACTTTTTTTTTAGCATGTGCCCGAAAATCCTTAATAGTTTAATATAGCTTATTATTTTACTAGTTTTTATGCTTTTGTATTGTATATATATATGAAAATATAACCATTACATACTGTAGAAGTTAAAATATAATAAAAGTTATATTTTTCATATTAAAAAATAAAACTATTTACTTGTAAAGCATTTTTATAATTTATAAAGAGCTGTCTAAGTTATTGATTTCCAATTCCTCCATATTTGACAAATGCAATACAATATTTACAGTAACCACTATGTCTAACTTTTGAATATGCTAACCAAGGAAATAAATTCATCCATGATTACTGAAATTTTAATTTAATTTTTTTTTATTTTCTATTACTGGAAAAGTAAAATTAATAGGAGGAACTCAAATGTGTTTCAAAAATTATTCAAAAAGCAATAAATTAAGAATTTTTTATGATTTCATCTTAATTATTTATAATATTTATAATAAATATATATGATTTCTTAACTCTCAAAATCTAAATTACTTAGTTACCTGTATTAAATGTTACCTTTAGTTTTTCGTCATCAATGATTTAGATATTTTACTAAATAAAGGAATCGTATGTACACAAATCTCAGAATCCTTTACACTTTTATCAATATTACTAATATTATCATCAGGAATATTTTCTGTCTAAGACAAATTAAAACAATAAAACATAGGTACTTCATAAACCATCAATAAACTATAAGTATACGAGGTATGGCTATTAAATAACGAGATTGCGTATGAAAAATGGTTTTATTTTAAAAACTATTCCACAACCAAATGTTCCCCTTCAATATACTCTCCTCCCCTCTTCACAAACCGTTTCATTCGTTTCTTCCATTGCTCGAGGCAGTGCTAAAAGTCTGTTTTCGTAAGACCATTCAGGAGTTCCGCCGATTTTTGTTTCACTTCTTCCATCGACTCAAACCGGATTCCTTTTAAGGCAGACTTTATCTTCGGAAACAAGTAAAAGTCGCAGGGTGCCAAGTCGGGTGAGTAAGACGCGTGTTCGAGTACTGGAGTGCCTTAAGCGGCCAAATAACGCTTCACAGACAGCGCGTTATGGGCAGGTGCGTTATCCTGGTGCAANCGATCAGCATGGTTTTGAATTTGGATTACGACTGAATTGGATTCCGGTGCACTCTCGACCTTCAGAAAATAATTTATGCCACTCAAAAACACGCGCCTGAGATAGGAAACCCTCACTATAGGACTCTTTTAACAACTTATAGCACTCAGTTGGAGTTTTTTTTAGTTTAACGAGAAAATTTTACGTTTATCCGTTGCTCATGTTTTTCGTCACACATCGTTTTCGGCAAGAGAAAAAAACATGTTTGTTTCTAAACGCTACAAAAAAAATACTAATGCACCAACAAAAACCCAATTTCGTACTGGCATAATAGACACTTCTAGCTAACCAGCGCTGTATTTGGTTTTCCACTAATCTTTTTAGGACGTTCTTTGCACGCGCAGTCTCGTTATTTAATAGCCAAACCTCGTATTTGTACAGATATTAAATCACATATTAAGTGCCCCCCTAGGCCTTTCACTAATATGTAAGTAGTATAACACCATAACAATATGTGATTTAGATTTTAAATTCAAATTTTATTTGACTTAAATAATTTAATTGATTTTAGTTTTTTTTTGTGGTGATTGTGGGCTAGTCACTGATATTTTCGAAAATATTTTTTCCACTGATACCTAATTAATTGTTCAAAAATTAATAAGACAATAATTAATAAATACTTTTTAAAAACGAAATAATTTATATTTATAATTAATTAAATATTATCGACTTTATTTTACTTATATCTCCGTTTTCTACATGAATATTTGTCTTATTTTGTTGTGGTTTAAAAAAGGAGTCGAGAGTATTTCAAATTTAACTAATTCAAATTAAAACTAACAGTTTAACACAGACGATCCAAATTACACATTACACAACAATTACAATCAGCTCGTGTTTAGTCTAAAAATGCGAATACTGTTTTTCCAAACAAATAACAATGCTGATAGCCTGATTACGTGAAATATACTCGAACACCATTCCATAATAATATAATAAATTGATTTCGGTATTGAATTATAAAAATATTTTGTTTTTATATTACTAGTTTACAACTGTACAACAATGACTAATGAGTAATACACCCATGTCTTGGTGCATCTAGTGCGGCTCGTATACAGGCACGATAGATAAGAAATCGGACAGAAATCGCATGTACTCGTCGAACAAGCTACGACATAGCGGAGATGCAGGCTATTAATAAACTTCTAACTGATTCTTTTAAACTTTATTTACAAAAATGAAAAATACACTAAGATAGTAAATACTAAATACGATTTAGTGTCTAGATATATATAGGTAAATTCTTTAATAATGTAAAAAAACACCAAGAGGCGTGCCCAAATCGCCCCCGCAAATACACCACTGAAATGGAGCTCAAACGATTCCATAAAGATTTATATCCAAATTGAATCCGTTTTGAATTCCTGTCTGAGTAAATCGCCAGTTCTTGGTAAACGGAGCGCCCCCTACCTCCCCCCCCATGCACGCGCATAGGTGTATGAAAAAATGCCGAGTAGTTCGGATTCCACTCCGGGTGTCCGTTTACGTGTACGCTTTTCGGTATAGTAACTACGTCTGCACGGGAAAATCCGGCTTAAAAAAAAAGAAAAAACCCGCGAGGGGCGAGTATAAATCCCAATTTGGGAAATGCCTCGTATATATAACGAACACTCTCCCGCGTAAATCCTTCCGTCTTATTTTTAATCTCGTGAACTTCGCTATATACCGCGGTCCCGGTAGTATACATACTTGTATATATATATATATATACGTATATACGGGGTACCTACCCCGTAAACGTAAGGTGAGTGTATTTTTTTTCTTTCTATATTATGATATCGTTTCGTACAGCTTCGGGGCCCGAATTCGGGGTTTTGTTTGGCGGCGGATTTCCAACCTCTCGCCCACTCCGCTCCTACTCCCCGCCGGCCCTTGTAAAATAAAATCGAGGATTTACAATTTATATACGGGCCGTTTATCTCTATATACGTATATATTATATGTACGTATACTCTATACTGCAGTGAAGCTCTTTTGGTGTAAAGTTATTTTATATTGCAGGTGGTGGTTAGAGGGTGTGCCGGGGTATATAACGTTTCGGTTTTGAATTTACCGGCCGTAGCTACTGCGAATATTCGGTGCAGCGATCGAACCGAACGCGTGATTTATTTGTGCATGTACCGTGCCCCTGTAGTGTAAAATACTGTACCTATAATACAACATTGCCGTGATATTATAATATATTATTTTTTAACGAGTGTACAAATTGTTGTATTGTCGGCTATCTTATACGCGATTGTTATACGCTTTTCTAATTTTTTTAGGTTCTAAGTAGAGCAAAGAAGCTTATAGTTTTACAATAATGTTTTGTTTTTTTTTTCCTGTGGACCTTAGGTCAGCTTTATTTTTCTTTTTTTCCACCAGGAACGGATATTTTTACGGTGTTGCGAGCGAAAAAAAGAAGAGGCTTTTTTGTTTTTAGGTGACATGTTTTAATTTTACGACGAACTCCGGTTGATTTTATATTGACCAGTGTTGAAAACTTATCTAGACAATAAAACTTTTATTTATATTTTGTCTAGATGAAATTTCACAAAAAAAAAAATATACATATATCTAGAGTTAAGTTTTATGTCTGCGTCTCGACTGTGATATCAAACCCAATACGAACCCTTTGCCCCGTAGCTAATTATTCTGTCTGTGGTAGGAAAATGGCGCTTGTCGATTGATTCACGTATTGGGACACTTGATGGGCGGATAAAATAGCTCTACTATAGAATGGTGGCTATGTACTATATAAATGTATAAAATGTAAAAAAAAAAAATATATAATTGGAGATAATTAGGACGGTAGAGTAGTTGTCATAATTGTATTGTATAATTGTACCTAATATTATTATTGGCCGTTCTGCCTGTATAATTGCGTCCTATCATGACTCCTAAAAACCGTAAAAAACACGAATGGTTACGTCCACAACAATTATTTTACGGTTCTTCAACCCAAGTATTCTCGTTAGATATAATTTATCACTTAAACTAAAACGTAAACCTTCATTGAAATATCGCGGTGCTCTGTAAAATAACGTGCCCGATTACAACGAGTTCTATATACCTACAGTATTAGAAAAAAACTACAGTAATTAATTTTTTTTTTCTCGTCGGTTTTGAATGGATGAATGGTAAAGCCATATAAGCGTTTTATGATGATGCTACGTGTGCTTTTTGTTTTCACGGAATATACACTTTTTTCGGGACGGTAGGTAATATGAATGTAGTATATTATAAAGTTTTATTCGTCAACCTTTTGTACAGACGGCTGATAACAGAAAACGAGCAGTAGATATGATGAGCACCTGACATTTTACAGTGTTCTATAGTTGCATTCATTTCTTGACGACTTAAAAACGATGACATAAACCTGAGTGATGAGTCGTTGCTATCGTTAATAATTTTTCAGTTCACAGCCTTAGAATCATTTTTTGTCTTTGTCAAATTAATTGAATACCAAAAATCTTTTGCCGAACTTCAAAAGTAACATCTATTTTGATTTTTGAAATAAAATATTGTGTTGGAGTATGAAAATGGTAGTTACTTTTTTTGTTTTTTTTTTTTGATTTTATATGTAGTTTTTGGAACAGTTGAAAAAAACATATGAAGAACGGAAAAATTTACAGTATTACATCTGGTTTCATTTTTTTTGATTTCTGATTTGTAAGTCGGTTAAAAGTTATCTTAGATTTTTGTAGAATACTTACATCAGTTCAAAATTTTCAGAACACTGAAGATTTTTGAGCTATAAAATTGTAGTCGACATTTTCGGGTGTTTTTAGTTTTTATTAAGTAAGTATTGGTTGGATAAAATTGTTTGACTAAACAGAAATCCTCGCTAATTTAATCGAATTTTAAATACCCCAGACCAAAACGCAATAAAACTATAAAAAATTGACTATAGTAGCGGAGCTCTGTTGCTTACGTGTTTTTTTTTATTTGTGTCGTGTTTTTTGAAATATTTGACAAATGCTATTTGATTCAATTTGATCCAAGATTTTTTTTGTTATTTATTTTTATAAAAGCTATCAAAGTTTAGGTTTTGATGATCCACATTTTTTATACCTATCGATTGTATTTCGCCTGCACATCACCTCTGGTTTTATATAAACGTGCATTTCCGTGCGGTCGTACGATAGTAACACAATATTCACGGGTCGTACAAAGGGAAATAACCGCGAGAAGGTATGGTGAAATTAGCGATGGGGCGCATGAGGGGAGATATACTATACGAGTTCAATTTTGTATTTTAACATATAGTATATAGTATATACATATTATATATATATATACTTAATGTTGTTGCAACGACGTGACGGAGACAATTTTAAACGTAATTGCTTCGCGAAATTGCCAGTGGTAACTATATTATATGCGGAGTGTAGATTGTATAATTATAATACATGGAATTCGATGGAAAATGCGGTTTATATGTAATAAAATAAAAAAATAAAAATCGTACTCTATTCGAGGATACGATATGCACAGTGGCCGGAGGTTGCCATCACTAGTGTTGAAGTCACATCCAGAAAAGGACAATATTATACTTGTATGATATATTATCGCTTGGAATGAAAATTCACACGTGCGTTTTTATTATTGTTATTATTTTTTAAATACAACTACAATTACAGTGTTACGAGTGTTTAAATCGCGCGCTCGAAACATTTCGTACTAGTGTTAAAAAAAAAAAAAAATCGTTTCTATTTCTCCCCCACCGCGATCACCACAGTCCGTCACCATAAATCATCGTCGTCTCCAATTATATTAGTATTATATTTATTATAGCAGTTTCGGTCCGAATTCTTTCGCTGCATAACCGGAAAATGAACAATATTTGTTTACAAAATATTCGTGAATGGTTTTTTTTTCACCATCGCGAATACCGACGCGAAACGACCCTTTTATAGTGTCCCTTTTTTTTTTTTTTTATTGTCTTCTCCCGTCCTTTGCTATTTCCTTCTGTGGGAGGGTTTTTTTTTTTTGTCCGCATCCGCGTTGTTATATATAATATTATAGAATGTCCCAGTTGTTCCTACGGGAAATGATAATAATATTATTATATTTGTATACGTAATTTATTATCACTTTTGCCCGCGCACTGTTACGCGTTAAACGCGCGTGCGCCGTCGTCGTTTTCGAAATAACCGCAAAAAATTAATCGCCTCCAGACAATTGGCCGCGGTACAATTCATCGGCCGGTAGCTTCGTGACGATTAAATTGAGAAAAAAGACGTCCTAGGATAATGGGGACGGGTGCAACCACTGTTATAGGTAATTTAATATATACCTGTAACAACGATAATCCATTGATTATGAAAAAACGATTCTAAGGGGAGTTCAGTTGATAGTGATGTTTTGTCAACAATATATAACTCAGTAAAATAACTAAATAGGCTTTCTATATTTTCTTTAATAATATTTGTTTATTGTTGTATGGATGTTCTGTTTTTCTACGTTTTTCTCGGTTTTCCTATGTTTTATCCCGATTATTCACATTCACCTAAGAAAGTCTTGGGAAATATTGCTATTATTGAAGGTTGGATTAAAATTGCTTGTAGAGTTATGCACAGAAAAAAAAATCGTAATATATTTCTTACATTTTTCCGTTTTTTATTTGGTTTTTCACATTTATTGAGAAAACTCCGGGGAAAATCAAAAACTGACTTTTTTTAAGGTACCTCTCCTAACCGATTTCCTTTCGAAAAATTTGCTATACGTAAAAATCGAAACAAGTCCTCTTGTAGAAAAGTTGTTCACAGAAAAAAATTAAACATCTTTGTAAAACTATAAGCTTTTTCGCTCCACACAGAATCTAAAACTTTGAAGGAGAACTATATTTTCCAAAAATGTAGAGGCGTTCCCGAGAGCCGACTTGTTTCGACCAAACTTCCAGGAAATCTATCTTCACGGAGATATAACCTACAGTTATTGATTAACAGTCACCCGGGATTATTGTGTCGTCCTTTATCAGAGTTTTTACCATATTTCTCATTAATTACACATTAGAGAGTCTATTATATTTTATGTAGGTTAATAGTACATTATACGAAGTGATTTACTAAGCATGCTTACCCCATTTATTTCGGTTAAATTTTGCATACATTCAAATCGCTGTTAATGTTGTGTAAAATCTAAGTATTCGAAAATATGGGCTTTAACTACACTTAAAAATTCGAAAAATCGAATTTGAATGTATATAAAATTGAATCGAAAAAAATGAATTGAGCACGCTTAGTTAA